TGCGTGCCTCACCGGTGCCGATCAAGGACCGCGTGCGCCATGCTTTCTGTATCCAGCGATGCCAGCCCAGTAGCGTTTGTCGCATTTCGGTTGTCCGCACTGAGAGGTACCGGTGAAACGCAATTTGCGGCACGTCGCCTGTATGCCTCGAGGGGTACCAACCCAGGACGACATGAGGCGCGTTGGCTGCATGCCTCAAGGTGAACCGATCAAGTACCCCTTGCGTCATGTCGCTTTGCCTCAAATGGTACCAGTCAGCACCACTTCAGGCATGTCGCCTGCGTGCCTAAAGTAGTACCCATTGAGTAACACTTGTGGTATGTCGTCTGTATGCTCCAAGTGATTCTGCGCAAGTGCCACTGGCATTGCCGTCTGTATAATTCGAGTGGTGCCGACCCAGAACCGACTGCAGCATGTCAGCTGTGTGCCTCAAGTGGTACCGACAACAGACCACTTGTAGCGTGTCTTCTGAATTCTGGAATGCTCCAGACTTGAGGTAACTCGCGAATATACCTTAAGTCGCCGTAGCCAGGCTCCACTTCACGCAGGTTGGCAGTATGCCTCAAGTGGTACTTGTCATGTGCAATATTTGAGTTGTGGTCTGCATGCTTCCATTGGTGCCAGACTTGTGCTATTTGAGGCACGGAGTATGTGTGCATCAAGTGGTTTCAGGCGAGAACCACTTGAGGCATGTCGTCAGTCTGCCTCGAACGGTATTAGGACAGCCCCAGTGGATGCATGTCGTGACCGGGTACCACTTGCGGCATGTCGGCTGCGTGCCTCAAGTCGCGCCGATCAGTGCCACTTGTGGTTGCATGTTGTCTGTCTTTTTTAGATCGTGCCGAACTAGTACCACTTGAGGCATGCCGGTGGGATGCTTCAAGTTGTGCCAACCTAGTACCGCTGGCTGCACGTCGTCTGCATGCCTCACACATGGTATCAACCGAGCACCACTCGATGAATCTCGGCTGCATGCCTCAAGAAGTGCCGATGGAGTACCACTTGAGGCATGTCGCCTGTGTGCTCCAAGTGGTGCCGACCCATTACTATGTGATGCAAGTCGGCTGTATGCCTCAAGTGGTGCCAGTCGCGTGTCGCTTGCGGCATTTCGTCTGTGCGCCTCAAGAGTCAAGAGGTGCCGACACAGTGCCGCTTCAAGCACTGAGGCTGCATCCCTCAACTGCTACCCGCCAAGTACGACTGGTGGTTTGTCGTCTGTATGCCCCAAGTGGTGCAGACCCAGTGCCGCTCGAGGCAGGTCAGATGTATGCCGTAAGTGGCGCCGATTGAGTACCGCTTGCATCGTGTCGTCTATATGTCTCAAGTGGTGCCGACACAGTGCGACTGGAGGCATGTCGGCTGCGTGCCTCCAGTTGCACCGATCAAGTACCCTTTTGCGGCATGCCGTCTGCATGCTCCAAGTTGTACCAAACCAGTACCACTTGCCACATGAGCCATGTCGGCCGTGTGCACCCAGTTTGTACCGATGAAGCTCCACGCGGGGCACGTCGCTCCATTGCGTCCAGTGGTACGGACCCAGTACCATGTCAGGGCGCCGTCTGTATGCCTCGAGTGGTACCGATCAAGTGCCACTGACACCATGTCGTCTTCATGCGTCAAGTTGTGCCAGCCCGGTACCCTCGTGGGCATGTCCGTTGCGTGCCTCAAGTGGCACTGTCCAAGTACCGCTTACGGCATGTCGTCTGTTCGCCTCAAGTTTTGCCAGCCCAGTGCCGTTGCAAGCATGCCGGCTGCATTCGCCGACTTGTACCGATCAAGTACCCCTTGAGGCGTGCCGTCTGCATGCCTCGAGTGGTACCAGGACAGTACGACTTGTGGTATGTCGGCTATGTGCCCTGAGTGGCATCGATGAAGTACCACTTGCGGCACGTCGTCCGTATGTCTCAAGTGGTGCCGACCCACTGCCACTTGAGGCATGTCGGAGGCATGCCTCGAGTGGTACTTGCCTATTATCAGATGAAGCATGCAGACAGCATGCGTCAAGTGATACCGGAGCAGAACCACTTAAGGCATGTTGGCTGTATCCTTCAGGTGGTGCAGACTCGGTGCCACTTGCGGCGCGTCGGCTGTGTACGTCAGGTTTGAAGTATACCGTCTGTGCGCCTCAAGTGGCCGCGATCAAGAATCACTTCAGACATGTTGCCAGTATGCCTCAATTGGTATTTGCCATAGGCGATTCGAGGCATGTGGTCCCTATGCCTCAGATGATGCCAGACGAGTGCCCCTTGAGGTGCGTCATCAGTTTGTTTCGAATGGTGCCAGGGCAGAACCAGTGGATGCATGTCGCAATGAGGCGCCGGATGTCACAGCGATTGCGTTGCCTTCATGGAGGGCGAGCAGATTTTCAGCAGCTCGCAGCGCCCTTGGCACTTGTTGGCTGAGAGAGGCGAGCGCGCGCTTGCATCGTGTTGTCGCCCAACGGGCCGGCCGCAAGACGAACTGCGTCTGCAAACGTGGAATTCCGAAGAAGATGATCAATTACCATCGAGGCACAGCGCGGCCTGAAACATGTCGAAGTGGCGTAGTTTGCCAAGGCGTCGCTGGTCAGCTAGGTGCGATGACGAGCTGCCAACGTAACGAGCTCGGCAGCATCGCTAGGAAACCCCAGTGCGAGTGGTTCGCGCATGCGTTCGCAATGCTAGCAGGGGCCGCTCGCCCGAATGCCATCGCGCAGCGCCGCTCGGGCGCCAATCGCAGAGACCACCCACGACGAGGATTGCTCGTCGAATCTGCATAGGGAAGACGACCGCTCGACCACTCTCTCTTGTCGCTCAGAGAGCCATGAAACAGGTGGCGGGATATTTTGACGGCTACATCCGCAAGCGACAGCGCCATGGACAGTTTGAGTTGAAGAAGCCGATCGCTGCGCTTGCACCGCTGAAACCGATTTCGTCAGCTGCGGGCGAGCGCGCAGCTGCATGTTTTGGGCCGTATGTTCGTGACCTGAGTGGGGAATGGCCTTCTCCGGGCATCCACGGATGGGTTCATCTTGTTGTCGCGGAACAAGGGCCACGACTCGCGGAATCAGGGCCGCGATTCGTTCGCTGCCGACTTCGCTTGCATTGTGGGACACCAGAACATCCGCGGGAAATTATACTGAGATTTCGACGGGGCCGTGCAAGAGCCAGGCGGCAGCATGGCTATGGGTGCTTTCGCCGCGGAAGAAGCAGGCCATCGACCTCGATGGAATATGCGCGTGCGGGTGCCGGTCGCTTCATCCTGTTTAATTAGTTTCGCTGCTTTGGGAGCGTATTTGCCGGTGCAAAGTGCGTCGCGCCCACTCGCCCAGCAGAGAAAATAATTGGGGCACGTGGGCGCCAGAAGGGAAGGAACAACTGAAGAGGAATATCGCCGGGGCGAACCTCGCCATAGAGCCCTGCGTCGATTTCGCGTTGGACGAGGAGTTCACCAAGCATGTTTCGCTTGTTTTTTTGTATGCAAGAAATCCCGAAGATGAAGTGCTGTTCAAGATGCGGCATGTCGTCTGCATGCCTCATGTGGTACTGACGAAGTCCCACTTGAGGCATGCTGTCTGCATGCCTCAAGTGGTGCCATTCCTGCGCCGATTGCCACTCGATGCATGACATCTGGACCTTTCAATTTTGGCTTCACGCGTGCCATTTGAAGCGCATCCTCTGGGTGCCACAAGTGGTGCCAGTCAAGTACCATTTCGGGCATGTCGTCTGTGTGCTTCAAGTGGTACTGACCAAACACCACTTGAGGCATGTCGTGTGTATGCCTCATGTGTTATGTGGCAGATTCCACTTGAAACATGCTGTCTGTGTGCTTCATGCGGTGCCAACCATATGCCATTTCGACGCATGTTTCAAGATACTTCAAGTGGTACCCACCAAGTCTCACTTGAGGCATGATGTCAGTATACCTCAGGTGATGCAGGTCAGAAGTACCACGTGAGGCATGCGGTCTGCATTTTTCAAGTGGTGCAGGGCAATTCCGTATTGTCTGAGTGCTTTGAAGTACCAATCAGGTTCCCCTTTCAGCATATCGTTTGCTCGTTTGAAATGGTACCAAGTAAATACCCGATAATCCATCTCGTCTGGATGCCTGGCAAGTATCATGCCGTCACCGTTTGAACCATACCGTCTCTATGCCTCAAGTGGTACCAATCAAGTGGCACTTGAGACATGTTGTGTACACGACATGACTCAAGTATTACCAAACAAGTACTGGTACCAAGCAAGTACATGTGAGGCGTACCGTCTGACGCATGTCGCGTGTTTTTTGGGTTAGGGCTCGGAGCTCGAACGCTTCCAGGGCCTCCCCCCTCTTGCATGTGCGCTATGCGGGGCGGGCGTGGATCCTTGTTGCCTGGCTTGTGGGTCAAAACTCATGAACGAGCGCGTTCTGTGAACGCTGGGAAGGGGAGGGGGGGTCGAACTGACCTCCCCCCTGAGATGGAGGAGGAAGGGGAGGAGGAGGAAAAGGAGGAGGATGAGGAGCAGGATGAGCATGAGGGGGATGATCACTATGATGATCGATGATGACGACGATGACGGTGCATATGATCATGATGATGTTGGTGGTAATGTTGCTGATGATGGTGGTGGTGGTGATGATGGTGATAATGAGATTGACGAGTACGGTGGTGATGATGACGAGGAATAGGAGGAGGTGGAGGGCGAGGTGGGAGTGTGACGAGGATGACTTACTTGGGAGGCGTTGGGTTCTTATATGTCTAGGCCATTCAGCTTGTATCATGGCAAAGGCGTGCTGCGGCGAAGCGCCATGCCAGACCACTGGATACTAGCGTTGCCTTTTCTTACCTCGTCCTCCCTGCTCACCTCTTCTCCCGCGCTCTCGTCGTCCTTCTCCTTCATTGCTTCCCCTCGTCCCTCGTCTCTCGTCTCTCGTCTCTCGTCCTCCTCCTTCTCCTCCTCCGCCTCCTCCTCCTCCTCCTCCTCCTCCTCTTCCTCCCCCTTCTTCCTCCCCTATCTGCTCGCCTCGAGCCCTGACCGCAGGTAGCCGTGCTTGCGAACGCCATCAACGCGTTGTGCGGCGAGCTCGCGCTGCTATCCCGCCTCTTGCCCGCCCGCTGCCTCGCGCCCGACGCTCCGTACCGTCCCAGCTCCCAGCCCTCTGGCGGCTCTGCTTCTTCGATCACGGCGCTTCCCTCGAGGTTCGAAGCTTCTGCGTGTCCGTGGCTCTTTCTCGGGCCTCCACGGGGGACCTGGGGCTTTTTAATCATGGCGTTTCCCTCGAGGGTCGAGATTTTGCGCATTCTTGGCTCCTTTCTCGGGCCTCTGGGGAGGATTTGTTCGATTCCGGCGTTTCCCTCGATGGTCGAGGCTTCTGCGTGTTTTTGTTCCTTTCTCGGGCGTCCAGGGGTTCCCCGAGGCCTTGTTTGAAGACCTCCGGGGAAGCAGACCTCCAACTTCTCGGATGCTCTACTTTCTGCGTTCTGGGATCATCTCCGGGCTCGGGGCTATTAGAAGCCGAATCAGGGGGCACGCGCAAACGCTTCATAACGCATCCGGCTTTGCCTCGTTCTTGTGCACCCCTCTTCCTTCCTTCTCCCGTCCTCCTCCCCTTCCTCCTCCCCTTCCTCCTCCCTCCCCTCCCTTCGTTCTTGTGCCTCTTCCTTCCTCCTCCCCAGTTCTTCCTCCTCATCTGGGCTCGCGTCGTCCCCTCAGCTTTCCTCCTCCTCCCCCCCAAATCTCGCAATGGACATGAGGAGAGGCCGAATCAGGGGAGAGAGCTGGCTCCAGGGGAAGGGGGCCAGAGGTCCGCGGCCCCGTGCTCTCCGAGGAGGAGGCGGAGGAGGAGGAGGAGGAGGAGGAGGAGGAGGAGCCGAGCCGCCGGGTGTCGGGGGCGCCGTGCTCGGGTCTTTCGCCACGTCTCTGCGGTGCCTCCCCCTCCGAGGCTGCCCCGCGCAGTGTCTCGACAGCGGACGTCTGATGTCTGGGGGGGCCACTGGGATGACCGTGGGGGTTTCTAAGTGGATAGGGGGGTTACAAGAGGATGCCAAGGCGGGTTATATCTGGCCCAACCTGGCCTATAAGTGGGTTATAAGTGCCCCGAGTGGCTTAAGGGGGTTCACGATCTGGGCGAAGTGGGCTCCGGCAACTTAGCGGAGGTATCTAACCCCTTTGAGCCACTCGGGGCACGTGTAACCCACTTATATGCCAGGTTGTGCCAGATATAATCCACCTTGGCATCCACTTGTAACCCCCCTATCCACTTAGAAACCACCACGGTCATCCCAGCAGCGGCCGCCGTGGGGGTCCAAAACGGGGACGGAGCAGATGATGACGACGATGGCGACCTGGCGGGTGGGGCTGTTAGGGGGGCGGAGGCGAGGAGACGAGGAGGCGAAGAGGGAAGAGGTGGAGGAGGGTAAGGAGGAGGAGGAGGAGGAGAAGGGTAAGGAGGAGGAGGAGGAGGAGGAGGAGGAGGATGTGGAGCTGGTACCCAGATGCCCTCGAGGAGGCTCGTCCCTCGTGGGGCTCAGCGTCAAGTTGGGCCTCGTGCCTCTGCTTCTCTTCTGTCTCCCCTGCCTGACAATAACCATTTCGTGCAGCCTTGGCGGTCAGCGGCCCACAGCAGGACCCTGCCCGTGCCCCTCTCCGTGTGCTGACGGGGGGCACTCTCCAAGGGCGGCGCAGTGTCGACGAGCCGAGCTGCAGCGCACCTCCGGCTGTGCGGCTCCAGCCGTGACGACACGAGGTTTCACCGATACGAAAAAGGGGGACGTTCGTATCATGCCGCGTTCGCGCGATGGCAGTGGGCTTATGTCTCATGCTCCCAGCGCTTCGTCTGATTCGAACACGGCGTTTCAGTTTCCCCCCTGGTGTAACTGCTCCTGCACATATTCCATATACACGCATTTGCCGTACAAAAAAACGACACGCTCCCTCTAGAGCGTCTCGGCGAGGGCCGCGACCGCCGCGGATGCCCCTCACAGCAGCGGTCGTAGAAGCTAAGCCGCCCCCCCCCTCGTCGTCGCCCACTCTTTTCAGGCTCGCTGCTTGTGCAAGCTTCCGCCACAATCAGTGGCTGATGATGCTTGAGCCTGGGTTGGCGCCAGATTTGCAATCTACATGCAAGGAGGAAAAGCTGGTCTTGTCTGTAAGAGCGTTTTTTGGAGGCAGATCTGCCTTCGACAAATCCAGTCTACTCTGCCAGAGCGTTTCTTGAATGCAGATCTGTCTTTTAAAAGACCAGTCCGATTTGTAAGGACGTCTTTTGAAGGCATATCTTCCTTCAAATGATCTCCGCCCCCCACACATTTTGGGGCCAGGGTCTTTTCGCAACGTCGTTGACGTGAGTGATGGAACTGGTGCAAGCGCGAGTATTGTCTTTCAGATTGGTTTTGAGACGGCAAATTTTATACGGTGGGGGCGTTTCTTAAGGAATGCGCCCACGTGGTTGCAGACCCTGGAGGATTCCTTATCTGATGAGGGCGGCGGTGATATCCATGGCCAAGCCTCGATTTGATTTCCACTGGTCGTCAGACCCTGGATTCCTTGTTTTCAGGGTTCCTTATCCAATGCCTCCACCGGATCGCAGCCTCAGAGCTGAGTCGCAACCGCTTGATGGCAATCAATCCTCCAGATGACGTCTGATCTGAAGATGCTCAGCAATCCCGGAAACGTCGCTGTGGTAGCCAGCCGCAATTGATTCATTTGTCAGGAAGCGAGTTCACTCGGCTGTGCAGATGCTTTGAACACGCCGAGTACATTCCTACGCCACTGTAAAAGCATGCGCCAGCCGGACTGATGGTCTCGGTCGGTGGCTCAGGCGCGTAGGAGGTGGGTCTCTCCATCGTTCTCGTCATCGTCGTCGTTCTTCTCGTTGTCCTGGCTCTCGTCGCCGCCGTCGTCTCCGCCCTCGTACTCATCGTCGCGGAGTTGGGCTTAAGTCGGGCGTGTCCCTCTACAGGAGGAAAATTCGAAACTAGTCAAAAAATAATCTGGGGACGACTTTTTGTGATTCTTTTTGGGCCATATTGGAGTATTTTCTGATTTTTGTGTTTTCAGTCAACCCGCATAGCAAGGATGGGCAACCTTCCCAGGGGTGCCCTTGCATCCTTGCCTCCTCGGCCCATCCTTGGCCACTTTCTCTG